TAATGGGTAAAAATCTGAGCCCCAAGGAGACTCATTGATACTGGGTTGGTCATTGTTTCTAGACCTTTTAGCGGATATAAACATAGACACACACACATACACATACATACACACACATATTCAAATTCCTACAGGGGCCAGGCAGGTAACAAATGAGCAAAGGGTAATAGAAATGAAGCACAGGAACTATGCTAAACTGTGAAGAGGGTGTACCTTGTCTAAAGGAGACAGATCTCCCAATTTTCCAAAAGAAGCCAGAAATATACATTTTTAACATGAATTTTTAAAATGTTGACAACTAATTAAAATAATTAAACAGCATGGTCAAATAAAACACATCTGTGGGCCACGTATGGTCCATGAGCTGTATACTCTCAACCTGAAAAATGTAACCTGTAGTTACATCCCAGAAGTTATATGGTTGCAAATGTATTTAAAAAATTAGGAAGAAAAGCCTAACTACAATAAGAAAGGGGAGAAATGTGTAATTATCTCCCTGCCCCAACTCTCTAAAGCACTAGGGAGAAAAGCATTTTCTAGGGGTGCCTGGGTGGTGCAGTTGGTTGAGCGTCTGACTCTTGGTTTCAGCTCAGGTCATAATCTCATGGGTCGTGAGATCCAGCCCCGCATCCAGCTCTGTGCTCAGCGCCGAGTCTGTTTCAGATTCTTTTTCCCTCTCCCCCTGCCTCTCCCACTAGTGCTCTCTCTCTCTCAAATAAATAATAAATCTTAAAAAGAAAGAAAAGCATTTTCTATACAGAAACCGTTTCTTTCTCAGATATGGTGAAAAAGACAAAAAGTCAGTTACCAGGAAAAAAAATCCAAAACTCTTAAGGAGGTTGAAACCTAACAAAAGTTATTATACCTAGGTTCTTGGACTAACAGGATGAGACCCAAGAGATATATTTTACATGATAGGTATATTAGAGGCAACAAAGCTGGTGGAAAAGTTCATTGCAATTGCATGATCAAGTGCTCACACCCTTTTTCACCTGTTCTAAAGAGAAAGGAAGCTAACAGAACTGCCACCGCTGCCTTGGTCCCCGCTGGAAGCAGCAGAGACAACAGAATGTTGCTGGGGAAGGAGAGTAAGATGTGAAAATTCCAGATAAGGTCCCAAAGAAGGCCTGGGGAAGGACCCAGTTATCAAGAAAGACCTGGTCGGGGGGGAACCTGGGTGGCTCAGTAGATTGGGCATCTGGTTCTTGATTGTCACTCAGGTCGTGATCTCAGGATCGTGGGATGGGGCCCTGCACCGGGCTCTGCTCAAAGCATGGAGTCTGCTTAGGATTCTCTCTCTCCCTCTGCCCCTCCCTTCCCGCCTCCTCGCCTCCTCGTGCCTGCGCTCTAGGCAGGCACTCTCTCTCTCTCTCAAGTAAATAAATAAACAAAACATTAAAAAAAAAAAAAAAAAAAGGAAAGAAAGAAAGGAAGGAAGACCTGGTTGGATTTGGCTCTTTTGGTGCAAGCTAATATCATGTGACCTGCTGCTCCAGGCTCCAGAAAGTATAGAGATCACAGGATTAACCTTTTCAGTTCAGACAAAAGAAGGTCAGATTGGGTTAAAGCAAAAACCATTAGGAACACTCATGAGGTATTTCCCCCTGGTTTCTGTTACTTTCTTTCAAAGAAAATAAGAACCTCAGCCATCTAAGGGGGTCCAAGACTTAGGAATCCCAAGCAAAAGGAAGGAGGGAACTAGAAAGTTGCCTGACAGCACCATGAGCCTCCCTCTGCCAGCCCCATAGCTTCAGCTTAGAGGTCCTATGCACTTGGCATATCCTTCACTGTCGCCTCTAGGTCCTGTGCCCTAAAGTGGCTCTCTATTTTATTCTGAATGCTATCAGATCATAACATTTTAGCTTCTCTCTAATTTGAAACCAGGCCATAAGCCAAGGTCAGAGGAAGAGTAAAGTTGGGGGAGGGGACCCGATGAACTTAAACTACCATTCTTTTTTTTTTTTTTTTTTTTTGAGAGAGAGACACCAAGAGAGGGAACAGAAGCAGGGGGAGAGGGGGAGGGAGAAGCAGGCTCCCCGCCAAGCAGGGAGCCCCATGTGGGGCTCGATCCCAGGACCCTGCGAACATGACCTGAGCCGAAGGCAGATACTTAACAACTGAGCCACCCAGGCGCCCCTTAAACTACCATTCTTATAAGTGACCCACCAGGAATCCAGATGCAGCATCCCCTGCCTTTGACCCTGAAGCCTTCCTGGGTCTCTTCCTGGGAAGAGAAAAACAGCTTTGCCTCTGGCACTGATCAGACATTAGCTTGTCTGTAACCTGCCTTCTGTACCCTCTAGAGATTCCACGGGAAGAATGGAGGTAGGTTTGTAGTGTCAAAGGAAGAAGTACAAACTAATTTTTATAGTTCCTTTGACTCTAGAAAATGAATTATTTTTTTTTCCCCCTCATCACCCCACATACCCTCAGACTGATGACCATGTCCTTTCTATGAACTCTTATACTCTGTTTTAATACTTGACGTGTTAAGCCTTTGCAGTAACTAATATTATATTATCCCCATTCTGAGGCACAGAGAAGGGACTGAATAAGGTGACTGGCTGAGCTGCTTGATTCCGTGACTCATTTGTACTGTCCCTTGATGTCAGGAGGAAATTTGAGTTTTAAATGAAAGTGATTTTACAAAAGGCAATATTTAGAAATTGGCTTAAAAAACCATTTTAAAGGGCGCCTGGGTGGCTCAGTTGGTTAAGCGACTGCCTTCGGCTCAGGTCATGATCCCAGAGTCCTGGGATCAAGTCCCACATCGGGCTCCCGGCACAGCGGGGAGCCTGCTTCTCCCTCTGACCCTCTCCTCTCTCATGCTGTTTCTCTCTCACTCGCTCTCCAGTAAATAAATAAATAAAATCTTAAAAAAAAAAAAATTTTTTTAAATTTTAGTCAGCTCATGTGTACAAATGAATATATTTTTAATGGTATTTATTTGATAAATAGTTGCACAAAAATTCTGGTTGTATGCATTCCTCTTAGGGTTCAGACTTTCTAAAGAATGAACTGTAAATATGAATAAAGGAAATGCAAACAGCATATTGTTATGTGGAAAAATTCTTGGATTCAACAAGAATCTAGAAAGAGAATCAAAGCAAAACTTCACAGTGCAATGATACATCTATTGGACTAGCAATCATATGTCAAATTTGAAAAGCCAGTGCTAGAAACCTGAGAGGAGATGGTTCACTGCACTTCATTTCATTTTTTTTTTTTTAAAGATTTTATTTTTGGGATGTCTGGGTGGCTCAGTTGGTTAAGCGACTGCTTTCGGCTCAGGTCACGATCCTGGAGTCATAGGATGGAGTCCCACATCGGGCTCCCTGCTCAGCAGGGAGTCTGCTTCTGCTTCTCCCTCTGACCCTCCCCCCCCTCAGGCTCACTCTCTCTATCTCTCTCTCTCAAATAAATAAATAAATAAATAAATCTTTAAAAAAAAAAAAAGATTTTATTTTTAAGTAATCTCTACACCCAACATGGGGCTTGAACTTACAACCCCGAGATCAAGAATCTCACGCTCTACCGACTGAGCCAGCCAGGCGCCCTGATTCACTGCACTCTAGACGCTGATGGTGGCACTACAAATTGGCTTAGGCTTTCTGGTGAACACTCCAGTCTTACGTAATTAGGACTATGAAACTTCTCACACCTTTGGGTCCAGTGAGTCAGCTGGAGGAATACGCCTTAAGGAAATAACTTAGAGAAAACCAAATTACTACACTATTTACACCAGTGACAACCAGGGCACATCTCAAATTCCCCACACAGGACAAAGACCAAGCTAAACCATGTATCACTGTGTACATCAACACAAAGACATATTATGAAGTCACTTAAAATGACAAGCATATAGCCTATTTCAATAAATGGAGGCATATACTCAGTTTTAGCAACAGTGCTTATAATTAAGAACAAAGGCTCTGAAATCAGACATTTCTTGGTTTGAATCGTGGCACTGTCCCCTGTTTCTCGTTTAAGAATGGATTTGGACCATGCAGGACCTGCAAGTGGTTTCTTGCTTTTGAGGAGATGTGTGTATTCTCAATGGCGTGGAAAAGAGAGACAGAGGGCAGGCTCTTGCACCAGGCTGGCCGAGTTAATATCTCAGCACTGTCACTTGCCAGCCATGTCACCTTAGGCAAGTGACTACACCGCCCAACATTCCAGTTGCAATTCATGTGTCTAATACGGCTAATATTAGACGAATATACGGCTAATAATATGACCTACCCCATAAAGTTCTTATGAGCTTAAAATGAAATGATGCCTGCAGAGTGCTCAGTACAGTGCCAGACATAGTAAGTTCTCCATAAATTTCAGCAATCTGTATTCTTCAATTAATACTGATCACCTGCCATGATCTCAGCATTGCACTAGGGACACCCACTACATTTAATCCCTACAAGAACCTTACAAGGTGAGTGTTGTTATACAGAAGTTTTTTTTTTTTTTTTTAAGATTTTATTTATTTATATGAGAGAGAGAGAGAGTGAGAGAGAACATGAGAGGGGAGAAGGTCAGAGGGAGAAGCAGACTCCCCACTGAGTGGGGAGCCCGATGTGGGACTCGATCCTGGGACTCCAGGATCATGACCTGAGCTGAAGGCAGTCGTTCAACCAACTGAGCCACCGAGGCACCCCTATACAGAAGTTTTTTAAAAAAATAAGCTGAGAGAGGGGCCTATGAATATTGGATGAGAGGAGGAGAATGCAAGATGGTTGGCAGATCCCAACTATAAACATGTAAAATGAAATATGCTCATACATTGGCAATGATATGCACAATTGGAATTTAATGGTCACTAGGCTCATTTTGTTTAAAGTTAGTCAAGTGTCTTTGTTCGTGTTTTCAAGTAGAAGCAAGTAAATGTGAGATAGGGACCCAGTCCCATTGCTTTAACTGAGCCGTGCCCTTCCTTCCCCCAGGCAATGACCAGGCCAGGTATTAAATGTCACTTGAGCGCTGGCTTCTGACCAGCAAGTGCTTACCTGGAGGAGGTAGAGGAGTCCTGGAACGAACAAGGTGAGTGGGTACAGAGACTGGTATGTTGCTAAGGCAAGAAAAATAGCACTGAGGAAGGCACTACCTGTAAAAAGAAATAAATATATGCAACAATCCAGCCTTAGCAATCAGGGTTAGACTTGGCAAGTCCCCCAAACAAGAAACTTCCCATAACTGGTCAAATAAGTTCTTATCACATGTCTCCTTGTGTACAAAATGCTATGCAAACTCACATAGAGTGAGAGCTTCTTGGCTTGATTTCCTGTGAAAGGAAACCTAGGAAGTCAAAACTATTTACTTTAGCAACCTGAGACACCTCAACTATGTTTCCTTTAAATTTTCAGACCAAGAAAGATTTCACAAAACTTTGGCCTAAAGATGAATAAAGGGATCAAGTCTATTAACATCTATGTCCTGTTTAACTTATCAACGAAGCCCATAATTATCGCTTAAGTGATTCAGAGCTGGGAAACCCATCCCTATTTTACAATACCCTTTCCTTATGCACTATCTTCAAGTCATATGCTTATTATTAAGGTATATTAATTTTTATTAATAATGTCCCCATTCCCTACATAAAATGGGCCACTATGATATAACAAATTTGCAATGACATGGAAAGATATCTATAACATCCTATTAATTGAAATTTATAAAAAAGATATATACTATGATCTCTTTAAAAAAAACATGCATAAGTAAATTTTTTAAAAAAGACTAAAAGACTAGGTCCAAGTTCACATGATTTTCTCTTAGTGGTTGAGTTACAGATTTTTTTTTTTAATTTTTGCTTCTCTGTATTTTCTAAACTTTCTATAATGAACATGCTTTGTTTTTGTCATAAGAAAAAACTGATTTCCTTTTTTTTAAAGGTTTATTTATTGGGGCAGCTGGTGGCTCAGTGGGTTAAGTTTCTGCCTTCGGCTCAGGTCATGATCCCAGGGTCCTGGAATTGAGCCCCACATGGGTCTCCCTGCTCAGTGGGGAGCCTGCTTCTCCCCCTCCCACTGCAGCTCCCCCTGCTTATGCTCTCTCTCTGTCAAATAAATAAGTAAAATCTTTTTTAAAAAGGTTTTATTTTAGAGAGAGAGAGAGAGAGAGCGCGTGTGCATGCCCGCATGAGCAGGGGCGAGGTTAGGGGGGAAAGGGGCAGAGGGAGAGAGAGAATCTCAAGCAGATTCCCCACTGAGCACTAAGCTTGGAGCCTGCGCAACACCAGGCTTGATCTCATGATCCTGGGACCACGACCTGAGCAGAAACTAAGAGTTGGATGCTCAACCGACTGAGCCATCCAGGTGCCCCAAAACTGATTTTTCTTTTCTTTTTTTTTTAAAGATTTTATTTATTTGACAGAGAGAGACACAGCGAGAGAGGGAACACAAGCAGGGGGAGTGGGAGAGGGAGAAGCAGACTTCCCCCGGAGCAGGGAGCCCAATGTGGGGCTCAATCCCAGGACCCTGGGATCATGACCTGAGCCAAAGGCAGACGCTTAACGACTGAGCCATCCAGGCGCCCCAACTGAATTCTTTTCTAAAAAACTAAATAGCTGTTCTCTTTCAGTTGGTTTTGGACCACAGAGTACCCTAAAACCAAGGCTAGAGAACCCAAATTTGCAACAGAGGTTTCAAAGTGGGCCCAGAAATCAGGAGAGTGTGATTGATGGTCCAAGGCTGGTATCTTGTAATGATAATGTTTCATAAAATGATAGGACTCATGGTCACTCTCATTAGTGTGGGGTCAACTGTTTACTGGAAATAACATATAGCCTCTCAATGGTATTTCATTAAAGGAGGGATTAGTCATTCCACTCAGTCTGAGTCATTTTACCTCTCTTCCAACTCAGCTCCAAAAACAAACAGAAGGAGACGATCCCTAGGATTTTTTTTTGCCGACCAAAGTAGTCTCTATACTTGAAACACCTCAGAGCCACCTTGGAAGAGGAGGGTTACGAATATGACTACTTTATAGGAGAGTGAGTGGAGAGAAAAGAACTTTGAGGGCTCCACCCCTCAAACCAAGGGAACTCAGCAGCTAGGAACAATTCCTGGTTGAAGAAAATGGAAGGCAGGCAGAAAAAGGAGCAAAAGCTGGAAGTACAAGACCAGAGACAGAATTCTCTGGGGTGGGCTGTTTCACCATGCTCATCAGTGCCAGGCATGATGTCCTATATCCAGGGTACTTGTAAACATGACTGAGCAGGGGCAGGATCATGCCCAGCCAAGCTGGCCCACCAGCAGAAGCCCCCATATCCCCGCTGAGCCGCAGATGCCTAGAACCAGGACCAGGTCAATTCTGAGCCAGGGAGATGGCAGTGGTGGGAAGGTACTGTTCTGGAGTCTAACAGCTAGGGTGGGTTCAGGGTTCCCTGACTTGGCCAAAAATCTGAACAACATTTCGTAGGAAACCAGCTAAGGGAGGGAAAAAAACTGGAAAGAACTTTTAAATTTAGCATGACTTTCTGCAGAGACTGGGGTGAGAGAAAGAAGAGGCCCTTTTAGCAGAGGAGGGAGGCTAATGTTCCAACTCCATCCCTTTTTACAAATGTGGCGAAAACAAACACAAGACTTTCACCCCTCTCTCTCCTAGGAGACACCAGGGAACCAAATAAACATAGCCACCTCCTGCCTTAATTGCCTGAGATCGGTAATTACTTGTCTGGAGCAGCTGACTATTTATAAGGCCCAAAAGACAAGAAATGGCTCATAGCATAATAGAACGGACCTGTCTGTGAGTTTCAGAACACCTCCTCCGAAGATCAGGAAAAAGCAGTCTTCCTTCCTTAGATGAAATCATTCGGAAGGAAAAACCTGTTCCTTCTGCTGTTCTCTACCAGTAAGTGGTGTCAATATCTCCCTGGATACTGCAGTGATCTTTCACCTCCCTTGCCCCATGCTCCCTCCAGCAGCCATCACGGCCTGCTGGTCGACCTCTGGAACATCCACCCCTGCAGTTCCTGCTCTCATCTGTTGCTTCTCCCTCCTCAATGGTCATCCCAGTCTCCTCCCATCTAGTCCTCCAGAGAAGTACCAGAAGAATTCTTCTAAAACACAGATTACACCGTGACAAGCCCCTCTTTAAACACTTCTGATGCTTCTATTTCATCTAGTGGATTAAGTCCAAACTCCAGCAACAAACTTCGCTATCTGGGTCTTAATTCTCCAGCTTCACCTCTCACCGCTCTCCTACACACATCCCATCCTCCAGCTACTCTGGACCATTCCCTAGTTTCTGAAAACACCATGCCCTTTCATTCCTGTGTCTGTTCTCAGCCTATTCCTTCTGCCCAAGCTGTCCTTCCCTGCCCCACTTCTGGTAAAGACCCATCCTCTAGTGGCTAATTGAAATGTCACTTCCTCTATGAAGCCTAAGCAGAAAGGATAACAGTAGTGATTATAGCTAATGATGGTCACTTATTAGGTGCCAGGCTCCTATCCTCTGTATCCAGAACAACGCTGGACTCAAAAAAAAAAAAAAAAAAGCCCTCAGTAAACATCACAAGCACCTTGTGAAGGTTCTATTTTTCTTTTTTTTTTTTAAAGATTTTATTTATTTATTTGACAGAGAGAGACACAGCGAGAGCAGGAACACAAGCAGGGGGAGTGGAAGAGGGAGAAGCAGGCTTCCTGCCGAGCAGGGAGCCCCATGTGGGACTCGATCCCAGGACCCTGGGATCATGACCTGAGCCGAAGGCAGACGCCTAACGACTGAGCCACCAAGGCACCTGAAGGTTCTATTTTTCTACCCATTTTTATTCTACCCATTTTACAGGTAAAGAAACCAAGGTACAGAAACAGAAGGTTAAGTAATAATGTATCATTTTAAATAATGGAATCACTCAGATGATTCCAGTGCCCATTCACTTAATTCATTCAATAGCCTCATTTAATACCCTCACATTCAATACTGATACTCTCTCATAATAATTTGCTAATGTTGCTCTCTCTCCCCATTTGTCTGTGAATTTCTCAAGGGCAATAAATCTCTCTTCACTCTGAACCTCCAGCACCCAGCAGTGCCTGGCACACCTGATGAATGAATGAATGAATGAATGTCATTCAGTGATATATATGAATCCCTTTGACAAATCCAAGCACATTAAAGAAAACCAGTGTTTCTTTTTTATTGAGATATAATTGACATATAGCATTGTATTAGTTTCAGGTGTATAGCATAATGATTTGATATTTGTGTATATTGCTAAATGAGCACCACAATCAGTCTAGTTGAAACCAGGTTCTTAAGGAAGGAAAACTTAGCAAGTGTTAAAACACAGGTAATGAAACATGGGCAAAGCACAGAAGAAATCTGACTTTTGAATCAACGGAGCCTGCTGAATAGAAGTTGAGGACTTGTGGCAGGGGTCTGGGTACAGAGAAGGCTCTCTGTGGAGTAAATTACTGGATGGCAGAGGCCTGTGGTCCAGAGGCAGAAATGTGGTACTCCAACAGTCAGGAGCCTGGTGTGTGGGATGCTGGGCCAGGTGTGGATGCACATGCACAGTCTGAGCAAAAGTGAGGGGGAGTATGGAGACACATAAGAGACTCAGAGAGGGCTGATACATTTTGAAAAAAGCCTGAAGGGGAAAGATGAATGGATTAAGAAGGCAGAGGGATGATGATATGTGCTTGGGGCAAGGTCAGGAAAGCTAAAGAAAAGTAAAAGGAGGGGATCCTGCTTGGCTCAGTCAGTAGAGCAAGCCAGGGTCGTGAGTTCAAGCCCCACCCTGGGCGTGGAGCCTACTTAAAGAAAAAAAAAAGAGAGAGAGAGAGAAAAGTAAAAGGTGACTTCAAATATTTTAGATAAACTATGCGATGTGCAAACATTTCTGGAGTGCCTGCTCTACGCCAAGCCTGTGCTGGGTGCCAGGAAGACTGGTAACTGGGACAGTTGCTGTCCTCAGGGAGCTCCCAGTAACCAGTGGCAAAATACGGAGGGAGGAAAGTACAAAACTTAGCCCATCAGGGGAAGCTGACACCTAAGTTCTGAACAATGATTAGGCGAGGCCTGGCAGTCCAAGGGAACAGCGAGTACACAGGCAGGAGGGCGAGGGACAGAAGGGTGGAGGGGGCTATAATTAGCTTGACA